GTCTCAACTCCAGGAAACTCCAGAGGATCTTGAAATTCCCTCTACACTTGCAGAACACCACCACCCTAATCTGAATTGGATAGTTATGGGCATTTTTGTGGAAACCACCCAGTAGGTTCCCTCCATAGTCAACCACCCCAGTGGCTTGAAATTGGTAAGGAATCACCTACTCCACTGGAAGAATGGAGGGGGGAATGCAGGGGGAGAGTCCGGAGAGATTGCAACACCTGAGACAGTGCAATGGGTGATCACGAAACCCTGTTTTGAAAACCAGACCACACCAATTTATTCAATCTACGTATGGGCAGCAATCCCCTTCTGCTTTACCCATGCCATCCATGGGTAGTATGGTCTGGGACAGACATATTATGACACAGTTATCACAAGGAATTTACATTCTAGTGATCATGTGAAACACCCCATCTCAAGGGTGAACGTACACAGCCACAGAAAATGTATAAGAATCAACATGGCTTACAGTGCAGATTTTATATCAATATGTTTGCGAATGGTTATTAGCCATCTAGTGGAACCCATTCTAAGTACAGACAGAATACCTGGTCAGGCACCCATCACCACAGAACGGGATCCAAATTGAAGCTGAAGCATGGACCCCTGAAAGAAAAGAAAGCATTAGTGAGGGCTTACCTCATGTCACAGCCATGCCGAAGTCTGTAGAACAGCCAAAGGCGGCAGGTGATACCCAGAGGAAGGAGAAACAGCAATGTAGTATAGGTAGTAGGAGATTAACATGTACAGAGTCATACACATGCCCAATCATAGAATCTCTTCCAATGGCTAACAAAGATGAGAGGCAAGGGAGAAGGTAAGATGATGAATGTGATGTGAGGAAACGCTGGGAAGGAGACAGGGAAGAACAGGCCAACTGGATCAAATGTCAAACCCAATTGGTCAGGGTAACTGGGAAAAGATCACGGGAAGAGGATGATTGCCAAGGGATAAAAAGGCAGGAATGAGGACCCCAGATGGAAGTCGTGCAAGCAATAAAAGAACGGAGGGCACAGACAGGACAGAGGAGTCTATCCAGATCAGAAACAGGGTAGAGATGAGATATATAGGATAGACAGATAAGGGAAAAAAAGGACTTACTTTATCAAGCTGCAGAGGTCTGGGGAAGAAAAGCATGATCCGAATAAAGGATAAGGTAAAAGGCATGGTACAAAGTCCTGGTAACATTGAGGGCAAAAATATCTGATTACAATGCCTGGAGGAGGAGGAAATAGACCTTCCAAGAGAGGTGAAACAGGGAACACATAGACACAGGTTCAAATGGAGGTAAAGTGAAGGCAAGAAGGACCATGTCAATGTCCCAATTCGGGAGCAACTGACACCTCAGTGGCCGGCTTAGCTGGAAGGAACACATCAACATGGAAAGGACATGGAAGTGGGAAAAATGGAATGTATGGGATAATGCTGCCCAAAACCCAGAAATCAAGGAAACTGAAAAACCCCTTTCAAAGAGTCATTTGAAAAACTCTGAGATACAGGTAACCATTGGGTGAGAAGCCTAGAAACCCCAAGTCAATGACCAGGAGCAATAAATGCTCCATTTGTGTTGATAGATGGCCAAAGAAGAAAGTCAAATTAAATGGGCTAAATGTGAAGCTACTCTACAAGTAAAACTGGAACTCCTTGCCAAGGACTTGAAAAAAGCCAGGCATGAAGATGGAGGATTGATGGCACAGGATGGAGCACTGATAACCGGAGTTGACGGAACAGGTCGGGACCACCTGCAGGTGGGCCAACTGAAGAAACCAAGGTTGAGCAAGCCAGTAAGGAGCAATCAAAAGGATTATGCATGGAGAGGCATGGATGAGGGAGACCATCCAATGAAGTAAACAGATGGGAGGGTAAACATAAAGGAAGAGATGAGACCAATCCTGGCTGAAGAAATTGACAGCCAAGGCTCGAGGGTGGGGGACTGGGGACCAAAACAGAGGTAATTTGTGATTGAGAACAGTGGCAAAGGCATGGATATAGGGCATACCCAAATGCAGACAGAGCCACTGAAAAACAGCAAGATGCAGGGACCACACCATGGGATAAACTAGATCCGGTCGGGAAAGATGATCGACTACAAGATTGAAAGCACCCAGTACATGACATACCATCAAACAAGATCTATAGTGTGAAAACCTATGGATCTGGACCTGGTGCCACCTTGGTAATTGTTGGAATGGATAATAAACCAGCCGGCAGCTGGCAAGAGAAAGAAACTGATCCAAAGCCTGACAAACAGCCAGGAGTTTGAGAAAATAACTCTCATCCACAGACCAATGACCCAAAACCTCCTGGTGATCCACCAAGGCACCCCATCCCTGAAGAGATGCATCTGTGAACAGACATAAATCTGGCCATGGAGGAGGAAGTGGGACCCCCACCGATGTGTGGGCTCTGTTCAACCACCAATAGAGATCATCTACAAGGGATGGGAGATGGGATATAGAAGTATCCAAAGGATCCCAGTCAAGGATCCATTATTATGAAGGACACATTGAAGAAACTGCATATGGGCCCTGCCCAAGGGCATGTGAGAGGTCATGGAAGACCACATTCCAAAAAGAAATAGAACCTCAAGAGCTATAAGTGAGGGAACAGACAGGGCTTTCTGAATGACCTGTTCCATAAAATGGAGCCAGAGACAAGAAGGTTGGGCCCGACTGATATAGGTGTTGAAGAAAACACCCAAATGGATAAAGTATTGGATAGGACAAAGGATAGACTTCACCAATTTGACCAACCATCCCACCTGCATAGCTTCAGCCAGGAGCTGATGAGTGTGACAGGCAGATTCCCATTCGTAACGAGCAAGAAGAAGCCAGTCGTCCAAATAAACATTGAAGCGCAAACCCATGGCATGAATATGTCAAGCAAAGGAGCAGACCACACGCAAAATACGTATAGTACTGAGGCTAGGCCAAAAAGTAAGGCACAAAACTGGTACACAACCCCCGATGGACAAACCGAAGATATGGACAGGAATGCTCCTCCACATGAATGTGTAGGTAAGCATTGGAAATGTCCACTTTGGTCATACAAAGTCCTGGAGAAAATGCCCACAGAAGAGAAGGGTATGTCTCCATGGTAACATACTGATAGAGACGGGATAAATTGATGACAGGACGCTAGTCCCCGGTATTCTTGGGAACCACAAACAGGTGGGAGTAAAACCCCTGTGAACCTGGTGAGCTGGTTCTAAAGCCTGTTGTGTGGGTAATGAGGTCCTGAACTGCCTCTGACAGATGCTGGCATGTTGAGAGATCCCGAGGAAAAGGAAAGGGAATGGGAACACTGGGTAATGGAGGAAGGGAGAGAAAGGGGATCATGAATCCCTCCAAGAGCACCTTGTGAACCCAGACATCTGCGAGAAAAGGTTCCCACATAGTCACCAGTACTGCTGTTGGCAGATCATGCATCATCAAGTAAATCGTGACAGGAAGAGGTTGGGAAGAGGAAGGTCAGGGGGAAAGGAATTGGTACCACGCTCGGCCATGACTGTGACAAACGAGTTACCAAGTGAGTAAGGGTAGAATGTTGATTGGCCAAGGCTAACCGTGACTTCAAAGGCTCAGGAACCAAGTCAAGCACATAATGCTGCAAAAACGGCATCATGCAGAGGTGCCAACAACAAACAAACTAGGTTTGAAGCACGAGAGCCGAAGATGACAGACGAGCCAATGCAGAAGTAAAGCTGAAGTGAATGTCAGCAGAAAACCCTCTCAAGGTTCCTGTGAAGAGCCTCTTTCACTCCACAAATAGGTAGAACTGACCCCAACAACTGTTGGTCAAGAAAAGGAAAGTCCGCCCGATGATAACAAAGGGCAGACTGATCCAAAGTCCGTGGGGGTACGGGGAAAAGACTACATAGGGTTCAGAAGATTCATGTAAGAGGGAAGGTCTAGGGTCATAAGAAACAAGTCTAAGAGACAATACATCACATACCTGAGAGATAGTCTAAAAAGACTGATGACGGACGAGCTGAATTATCAGATAGTGAACGGGAGGGCATGGCAAACTCCATGTGGGGAAACAAACAAACAAAATCATTTACAGCCTGGCCCGACCCAAAAGGCTCAGGAGGAAGTGGGGGAAGAAGTAGGCAAGAGAGGTAGGCTCATATACTGCTCAATCTCTCGGCAAATAAGCGACGATATACCTCCCGATGGGTAGCCCGCGCCCGTGGCTGAAAATACGGCATCAGACGCTGACAAAGTATTCAAAGTGGTAACTGTAACTTTGGAATTTACAAGTGTGAAACACACGGAAGTAATGCTTTATTAAAATATTAACTTCACAACTGTGAAGTGTTAGAAATAAAGTTGAGAAACATAAAAAATCCAAAAATGAAAAAATGCACTTCAAGGTAACTAAATAATATAAAAGAAAAGAAAGTCTGAACTTGACAGCTACCAAAGGAGAAGTGATAGTTTGCTAGTGGCGTGTAGAGGGAGTCACATGCATCACGTGATAGTAGTGTTCTCCTATTGGTGGAGAGGTGATGCATGATGATTTGTATGAAAGACGTGGTGTAACTTTTAATTCCAACAGAGGGAGGATGAAGGCTTGTGGCATGCGTTTCTGAAAAAAGTCAGCATATAGAGGGCAGCACAAAATGAGAAAAGCTAATCTTGTGAACGGAGGGAGAGAACCTTATCGGAATTTCTAGTAATACTACGCACGAAGGAGATAAATTTTAAAAAATAACACTGAAAAAAAACTAGGTCTGAAAATTGTTTTTATAGAATAAATAAAGTAATGCAACAAATGAAAATATCATCAAAAAGTTTTTCATAAACTGTAACAAACAGATAACACAGAGTATGTATCTTTTTATATGATATATATGTGTCAACACAAATATATATTGTAATGAACAATACACAGAATAATATAAAGAAAAAAACTAGACTAGATTAAATTAATATAAAAAGTAATATAAATGTAAAATAACAGATGTGAAATCTGAACCAAAAGGATACATGAATCACACACAGTTGCAGAAATGGTTCCAACTGCAGCAGCCCCTCCTTCACATCCTCCAGGATCTTCTGTGCCACTTCTGTTTTCTCACATAAGAAAAAGACTACAGGATGAATTTCTAGTGTAATTTTCTGCCAGCATACACAACATAACAGTCTCCATTAATGAGCTAAGTTGACTAAGAAAGAGTCATGCTGTAACATAGATGTATCATAAAATAAATGCTCTTTTTAATACATGTTAGGGGTCATTCAGTTTCTTTAAAAAGATATTATTGGACATTAGTCTTTATAAACAAAGAGCTTTTCAAGTCACAACGTATGCTGAAAGTACCACTGGCAAAAGTATTTGCTATCATCCTTTTGATAAAAAAACTTTAAAGGTGTACATGAGCTCCTAATCCTTGCAATGAGTATGTATCAAACTTTTGGTAACATTGTAATGTATGAATCGTTTCATTCCACTCAGACATACATATTGTAACTGGGTCATTCTATGATAAACTACCCAATAAGTAATACCAAACCATGTCTGATTTACATTAAACTCAGTTCACGGGTTTATACCACAAATAAATAATTTTCAGCTTAATTAGTTTGCTGGGTTAAAAGTTATAAGGAGGTCAAAATTTGGTTTAGTTGTAACTTGTAATCAACCTTTTACTCAAAAATCATTTTTTACTACATACTGGTTTTAAATGTCATTTTAGTGAAACTTGGATGAAGATTCTAAAAATGGTTTGTAAAATGTCTTTGGAAAACAAAAGTATAGTATTTAAGATGTCTTCACAATCTATACCTTCACTAGCTGAAAGAAATGTTTAATTTGAATAAGATGATACGACCAAGACAATATCATGGCAAAAATGGTTAATTTTCTTCCAAATGAAAATTACAATACTGCTTTTCTTGCCTCTTTTGAATGATGAAATGGCATTGAATACTGCTTATCCACTATCCAGCTTTTCTCATCTCTCTTTAGCCAGTGGTAGTGTTGTAAATTCTCTCTTAGGTACATTAATAGGAAGTAAAAGCAGAAGGAATGAAATTTCCTCTTTTATGGAAAAAAAAAAAAGTTTTATTGATCACTTCGGATTTATCTTAACCATCCAAGAGGATTGTCACATTGTTCAATGCATTGGTGAAGAAAGAAGATACTTGAAGCTGAGTCGTGAAAATTAAGATGAATCAAAGTAGCTATTGTGTACACCTAATAACAAATCCTTAATTTAACCTTTACTATTGCTTTCAGAACCTGTAATACAGCTTCTCTGTGACAAAGATGAAGGTTAAGCTAGAAAAGAGAGTTCTGCAAACAAAAACATATATAATTTGGTAAAAATCTGGTCATCAATGAGATGCTACAGGCTTGTTTTTTCAGCCTTTCTCTTCACTGTTCTCCCAATAACTGTCAACAGGCCTTTATTATGTGAAATTATACAAAAAAATTTCATTAACTGTACAATCCAATTTAGAGACCAGTTTATGATGGCAGAGATTAGTTAAATTCTACTGACCTTTTGTTACAGATGGGACAAATTTTCCTTCAAATAGGAAAATAGTTTGGATCAAAAAAAGTACACAACTGCTTTTAAATGTTCTAGGAAGTCACAAATGATCCAGAAATAGTAAAGCTTAAGACTTCTATTTTTTAAGTGATGATAAATAACAAAAGAATACAGTGTGGCTTGAGAACCTGCACAATAAAGATCTTGGACCAAATCTTGGAAAGAATAGGTCTCAGAATAGGCACTTAAGATGATGGCTTTGTAAGCAGCCAAATTTTCTTTTGGAGATTTCAGGTGACTGGATTGAGATTTTGAAATTATGTTTTGTTAGTTCCACAATATATGTAACAAGTTTCTCTAAGTATCATCATGATCATTGTCTATAATGACCAAAAGCTTGGTATAATCTTTGAACACCAACTACAGATCTTATATTTCAGGGATTTTATTACCATATTTAATCCTCTTGTATCAAATACTCACTGAACATCCTCATCATGCACATCTATGAATCTAAACCACACACATTTTTATTACATTAACTCTTTCAGCATGGGTTCGATCTCTAGGACCAACCTCGCAACCATTTTGTGCTTGTTATAGTTTTCATACTATAGCTTTTAAATTAGTAAGAGAATATTAATGAAATTTGGCAGATCATCAGTAAACATTACAATGATTTCATATGCAAAATGTAAAATTTTTTTTAAGTCGTAAGGTTTATAAAGCAATGTTTTTCTCATATATATTTTTTCTTTTAGCATTTTGCCTATATATCATGCAAAGTAATATTTATTTTAAGATTAAAAATACTTTTATTCATCTGAATATTTTAAAATTTCTCATGCAAAATCTTTATAATGTCGAGATAGTTATCAAACATTTCTTAAGAAAAAAACTTTATATTTTATCTGTTAATTTTAGTAATTAATCTCTGTAAGGGGTTAGTAGATTTGATCGATCTCACAACCACCATAAAAAATTAGGAAATAAGTATAAATTATGCCTCTTTCA